GCTGCATGCTGATCTTCAGATTGTCAAATAATTCCTGCATTGTAATATTCTGTCTACTTCTGAGAAGTTAGCAGAAAACAGTAACAGTTCTCACCACTTACTCTGTCCACATTTTTGAGAGGCGGCTGGTTGTGTATCCACTTGCCACTTCTGTTGAAGTCAATGGCAAAGTTAATGCTCATAATGCATAAAGCAGGCTCATTATTTAAGGTACTTCAATTAACTCTTTCCACCTCAGTTGTCACAGTGCAATTGTATTTAGATCTTTCAGTGTATCATTCTAAGTGATCATTCCCAATTGGTGGTCGTGAAAACAAAGGTAGTGCATCTTCGGTTTGGAGAGAATTGTACCTTTTGTGGAGAGAAAGAAGCTTAAATAGATTGGGAATGGGGGTGAATGAGTGGCACCCTCAATCTTTCATTGCTAACTCAGTTACTGTAAAAGATTAAATATCCTCTGATGCTTTTAGCTGCTAATTGTATTAATACTAACTGTAATCTGGAATTGGTGAGGAGTAAATATGTTTGGTTGAAGTCTGCAGAATAGCAGCACTTGTTAACAATCTTTGTATTCTTTCAGTCAGTTAGCTCAGGATTTCTCATACACCTCACTGAAAGATTGTATGACCTGCCTTGCCCTCTTGTTGAACAATGCTTCATTCCTATTGCCATTACTAAAGTGATGTAGAATTCTGAACCTAAGAGAGAAATGAGCTCTTAGACTGGTTGGGTGGCTTTCATGTATCATTTCCAACTGAATGTCTTCTTTTCTCTGCACCTGGTTCTGAAGCATTGGGCAGAGGCAAGAAGGGTGAAGGAGGGGGTGTGTGTGTGGCGGGGGGGGGGGGGGGGTTGGGGGGGAGCTGGATGGGGGTGTACCTAGATCAGGTGGGCTGTGGGTCAAGATAGTAACTCAGTACAATTATCCCAGGGCAATTAAGGCCCAGGAACAGATACCAGCCTTGTTAACAATGCTCACATCCCATGAAAGAATAACAAAATTTATATTTAGTTTAATCCCTATCTGATAGAAATTGTTCTAAGTGCTGGGGTTGGGCACAGTCAACAGATGGAGAATAGAACTTCTGTGTTTATACAACTAATTAGCTTTGCTAAAGCATGTCTGTTAAACCCTGGGAGCCCTGCTGTATAAAATACCTTCGTTGAAGCATGAACCTCGATCAAATCAAATGTGTCTGAAACACTTTGGGGCAGAGAAACATCACTGACATCTGGTAGCAAGAAGGAACAATTTGAATCTATGGTGCTGTCAATGTAACTTCCACTGTTTGTTTGCTTTGGAATTAATAATATACCATTAAGTTTGGAAGAATGTCTTTGCCTTATAGTTTGTGGAGTGATAATGATGTGACATGGGTTAATAATAGGGTTGCTGATGAATACTTGAAAAACTTACATAGATTTTATGTTTTGTATCAAGCCCATTATTTATCCAGGTAAATGCTAGAAAGTCTGTCTTTATGTCCTGGTGGACTGGGGATGCAGACCCAAATTAATATCTTGTCCGAATGACTGTATTGCTGTCATTGCGACACTCACTCAGCACTGCAGTGAACTTTCAACTTAGATTTACTCCTCCAATTCAGACCAATAACCCTTTGACTTCAAGCTGAAAGTGCGACCACTGAACCAAAGTTGTACTTTGGAGTCCATTTAGCCCTCGTAATTCAACCTTCTCTGGAAACCTATGGCGTGCCATCACAGAATCAGACAGTCTTTTGAAACAATTTGTAATGTGTGCGCCCATCACTCTAAATAAAAGGTGTCCCAGGTAATAGTGAGCATTACTGAGAAAAGAAACAAGTTATTGAAGCTTTTCGTCTTGTCCCCAAATCTCAAAGGGAACAGCAATTTTTACTTCATGAGAAGACAGGGCTGATTGATTGGCAAATGAACTCTGGCTACCAATGGTGTTGCATGGTGAATGCGTCAGGGAATACCAGACTTTTGTTGCTAAATTCAAATCAAGAAAGTCAGTTCTGATTGGGTACAGAAATGGAAGTTGTTATGATTCTCTAAGTGGAAAAATCCTTCTTGACATCTTTTGCAACTTTGTATCTACAGTTCCATGCTGTGTAACATTGTTTAAATTGAAATTTTGCATTATAATTATCTTCTAATTGTCTTTTTCTTGTAAAATACACTACAACTTCCATTTTCCTGCATTGAATTTCAGCTGAGATCATCTTGCAAATCTTGTCCTGTCTTAAATTTATATTCTATATGAAATAGGTTGTGTTTTCAAATCCAGATTGCTTATCTAAATCAGAAACAATAGGAACCCAGGAGCATCCCAGCTGTGCCATTCTCAGTATGTCACGCATGCCCACACCAGGTTCAAAATATACTTGCACATCTTTTTGACACTTTCATAACTAGGTTCAAGATTTATTTAAGATTTTACTGCTGCCTAAATCTTGTGAAATGTCTTTTGATTCAAGAATTCAGAAGTATTCTCAAAGCCCAGGTGTACTGTGATGAACATGAAATGCTCTTTCTTTTCAGAAAAACTGTGAGGTTTCAGTGAGACAGAATCTACCCTTCTCACAGACCAAGTAATTTCCATTAAGTAATATTTTCATGGAAGTAATCCTGGAGGATTTGTTCTTTATAGTCTTATATAAATGTTAGTCCTCATGTAACTACAGAGACTAAATTCCCTAATCAAACTATGAAGGTTGCAGTTGGGTCCAAAGTTTGAACTGTTCTAACATAAATTCTGGCCAAATAGTTTCAGCTATGATCAAAGTTATCTGCCAACCGTACTAATAATTAAGCCTATTGTTCACTCAAGTCTACAAATTCTCACATTAACGTTTAGTTAAGTTTGGAGCCCAATTCTGGCTCAAACAGTTCTCAAAACTCGGTGAATTTCCATCTAGATTCTCCTACTCATTTGCTTCAATTTTGAAGGAAGAGTCATAAAAAATTGGAAAAAGGAACTAATATTTACCCTGCATTTCCAAGGTTTAAAGTGTATATCCACATAATCTGAATGCTGCTTCAAGATATTTTTAATGTGTTAAGGTGCTATATAAATGCATTTATTTTCTCGAGTTAAACTGGACTACCACCAAGCTAAAAATAGATAAATTATTTCATTTTTTCCTCATTTTCCTCATGCTATATTAAGCTGATCACAAGATATAAAATCTTGTGCTGACTCTGTAAAGATTGTGAGCTGCAGATTAATTAATTGCATCTGGCAAAATTGCAAAATTGACAAAAAGGATTTATCACAGCAGATCTCCTGGTAGGAATGCCACAATCAGACAGAGACAATCTATTGGGGAGTATTGTGATGTATCTCTCAAAGAGTTAATGTTGGAGAGCAAATTGCTTTGGATTGAGGAGTTTGCTGTCTTGCCAGGGTATCAGGTGCTTGATTTTGATGGGTGCTTACTTGATGGGCTGAAGGGCTTTTCTGTGCTGCAGACCTCTATGATTCTATCACAGAGTATAAAATTTCCATTTATGTGGAATCAAAACCTTTTTCTAATGACACAATAAAGTGGTGGCCCAGTCAATCTCAATATCATTAATACTGTAACTGCTCAAAGCACATGTTCTAATGCATTCCTAGCTTTAAAAATTTTAAAGTAATTTTTCTTTTAAAAATGGAAGAACTACATACTAAGAATTGCCCTATTTTGAGCTCACACCCTTTGTATAACGAAAAATTATATGAAAAGAACATTTTCTTAACTATTAGGAACTTTCTGGCCACAAAACAATTTAACATAATATGTACAATATTGCTCTCCTTGCTGTGGCTAATGAATGCTGCTTTATGAATAGTGGATTTTGGCCATCATTAGTCATGTAGTTCTGGTATTTGATAGGTGACAAAGTTTATTTATAGACAAAATACATAGTATAAAATAAAATTCTTTCTGCAATGGAAATAATTTGCAAAACAAATTCTGGTGGAAAATCATTTTTTATAATTTACTCAGTGAATTGTCTTCCATTCTTTGCTGTACCTCAGCCATTTTCATTCTGTTCTCTAGACAACTTTTCTAAAACTAGAATTCATACTGGGAGTGCCCTGATTAATGGGCACGTGGTATTGGATTCCTGGTGTAATTTTTAAACTTCAGCTACTGTGATTCTATCCTTTGTGTGATCTGTATTTTCACGACATCATTAATAATGGATTTAAGATTTATGATATGGCCTAAAAACCATAACAATGCTTTTAGCAAGAATGTAAATCAGTTTTTAGCCATGAAAAGAACTTCTAAAACAAAAGAGCTTTATTTAAAGGAAGAATTTTATGGCTGACCAGAAAATACAGAATATTTACAAATAAAAATAGCATGCTCTGAGATTGAGTAAAATTGCATTTATTGCGGATTTTAACGCCATTCTCACCTACTCAATGCCAAATTTTTATGAACATGTGTAATATGATGATTCATTTAAGGATGAATGCATTACATGCTGTAGTTCGGAAAAGCTTTTAGGAGCAGTTGTTTTGTTTTGTGTTAACTTTCTTAAGTGCACTTCTTTTTCCTGCACCAAATGTGTATTTACACAGCAACTCACAATTCAGATTGCTGAAATCACTTCAGCAAATTGCCTTATATCCAAATAACTCAATTGGCAGTCCTACTACAAGAGTGGAGTGGTGTGAAACAAGCACATTATCCAGCACAAACCTGCTTGATAAATGGAGGCAGCAGGAGCATGAAACTTATAATTTACGACTGCCAAACTGCCTTATCAAGTCTGTCACCTAAGCAACTCAGTACAATCTGATTTTTATTTCATGAGCTGTATCGAAAAGTTTTTCTTTATTTTCCCTTTTCTCTTTTACTCTGTTTTACAATTTTCATTTATTGTTCAAAAATGGGTCCAGCCATTAATTTGGGATTGAGACCAAACCATGACGTTCTCTGCTTTTGTGTAGATAGTTGGACGACCTCTGGCCATTGATGATTCTAATATTAACGTTGTTCACTTGTGTTTTATTTCAGCATAAAGCCAAGGTAGAAACTATGACTTTGGATTTATCTTCCCTGAGAAGTGTTGAACAATTTGCAGAAGCTTACAAGACTAGAAACCTGTAAGTAGACACAAAAAGTAGCATTTGGATTAGAAAAAAAATCATTGTGTTATAGTTTTTTTGTGACTGGAAGGGGCACAGATAGGATATACAGGAAAGAACGTTTCTCCTTGATGGAGCAATTAATGACTGGGACATAGATTTAAGATTAGGAACAGGAGGTTTAAAGGTAATGTGAGGAAAGCTATTTTTTAGTTCAGAAGGTGGTGGGAATTTAGAACTCTCTGCCTATAAATGTGGCAGAGGCAGAAACCCTCATAATATTTATGAAGTATTTAGATGTACACTTGCAATGCCAAGGCATCTAAGGCTATGGGTCAAATGATGCAAAATGAGTTTAGAATAGTTTTGCAGGTGCAGTCTTGATGGGCCAAAGGATGTTTATTGTGCTGTAGACCCCTATGAGCACATTGTAACCCCAACACCCCACCTTTGCCCACCAAATTTACTTGGAAATTATTTATTACACTTGCCCTGAAATAGTATTTTTTGTGACAGTATAGCAGCAGGTCTGTATTAGTAGTAGCAAGTGGTTGTTTCCAATTGGTCCTTTAGCCAAGTGTGTGTTTATTTATCCTGTTCACATTTGATAAGCATGAAGGTTTGCGCTAGGCTATTTTTCAAACTATTATCTCATTAGTAGAACTGACTTTACTCAAAGCACATGAACCTGGTTCTACCAGCAACTTGAGATGTAAGCACTTTGTAGTTTCTATCATCAAACTAACCATACTTATACATTAACATTTTACATATCACTCCAGCTTATATAGGAGATACAATGTCACATCAGTAGGAGGATATTTTCAGATTGAGCTGAATGTACTTTAATGGGATAGTCCTAGAGATGTTTTGTTTTATTGTTCTGGAATCATGTGGTTCCTGTGCAGAAGGAGGCTATTTGACTCTCCATGTTCGCACCAACTTTCTCCAAGAATGACCTGCTAGTCCCACTCTCCCAAATTTCCCCTTAGCTGTATGCATTCTTTCCATTCAAATAGTTATCCAATCCCTTTCTGAAAGCCATGATTGAATCTACTTCCATAACACACTCAGGAAGTGTATTATGGACCCGAACGACTTTCTGCAAAATAACTTCTCCTCCCCTCACCTTTGCTTCATTTGCTATTCGTCTTATTTCAGTGCCCTCTGTTTCTCAACACTTCTCCCAATTGGAACTAATTACCTCTATTTACTTAGTTTAAGACTCTCATGATTTCGAATATCTCTAATAAATCTTCTGTCCATGTTTTCTACTCTGAAGAGAAAGCCCTGCTTTTCCAGTCTATCTGTGCCTCACCCTGAAACCATTCTCATAAATCTTTTCTGTATCCTTCTAAATCCTTTGCATCCACCCAAACGGTGGTGCCCAGAATTGACACACACCGGCTGGACCAAGTTTTTATAAATGTGCACAATACCCTCCTCAATTTTGTACTTTATACAGTATGTACAGTATTTTATGAACCACTTTCTCAACTTAGCCTGCGACCTCCATTGACATATGTCCATGAGTCTCCAGGTCCCTTTGTCCTTGCACCCCATTTAGAATTTCAATCATTGTCTTATATTGCTACTCCTCATTTGTCTGACTAAAATGAATCGCTTCATACTTCTCTGCGTTAAAGTTTATCTGCCATGTGTCCACCTATTCCTGTTTATAACCTGTTGAAAACTATCATATTTCCAACTTTGGCATCAACAGCAAATTTTGAAATTGCACTTAATGTACCAAGTCTAGGTCATTGATATAGAATTGTACAGCATGGAAACAGACCCTTTGGTCCAACTTGTCCATGCCTACCATGTTCTCAAACTAAACTAGTCCCATTTGCCTGTGTTTGGCCCATGTCCCTGTAAACCTTTCCTATTCACGTACCTGTCCAAATGTCTTTTTAACTTGCATCTATCACTCCCTCTGGCATTTCCTTCTACGTACAAATCACCCTCTTTGCGAAAAAGTAGCTCCTCAGGTCCCTTTTAAATCTTTCTCCTCTCACCTTAAAAATGTGCTGTCTCGTTTGAGCTCACTCAGGATTTTATAAACCTGTATAAGGTCAACCCTCAACCTCCTATGCTCCAGTGAAAAGAGTCACAGTCTATCCAGCCTCTTCTTATAACTCAAGCCCTCCATCCCAGTAACATCCTTGTAAATCTTTTCTGCACCCTGTTAAATTTAATAATATCCTACCAACAGCCGGGCAACCAGAACCGTAAACAGTGCTCCAGAATGGCCTCACCAATGTCCTGTAGAACTACAACTTGACATCCCAACTCCTATACTCAATGGTCTGAGAAATGATGGGAAGCATACCAAATGCCTTCTTTACCTGGAATTGTGTCTAATGATGACCGTGAATCCATTGTTAATTGTCTGAAAAACCCATTTGGTTCACTAACGTCCTTTAGGGAAGGAAACTGATTACATGTGACTCCAGACCCACAGCAATGTGGTTGACTCTTAAATGCCTTCTGGGTAATTACAGTTGGGCAATAAATTCTGTCTAGCCAGTGATGCCCTCATCCCGTGAATGAATTAAAAAAAAAACACCTGTCTACCTGTGACGTGACTTTCAAAGAACTATATACATGAAACCCCATGACCCTTTGTTTGACAACACTCCCCAGGGCCCTACTATTAACTGTATAAGTCCTCCCCTTGTTCATCTTACCAAAATGCAACACCTCGCATTTATTCAAATGAAACTCCATCTGCCACTCCCTGGGCCATTGGCCCACTTGCTCAAGATCCCTTTGTAATCTTAGTTAACCTTCTTCACTGTCCACTATACCACCAATTTTGGTGTCTTTCGCAAACTTACTAGCCATGCTTCCTAAACTCTCATTCAAATCGTTTATATAAATGACAAACAACGGTGGATTCAGCACCGATTCCTGCAGAACACCACTGGTCACAGGTCTGCAGTCCAAGAAAAGCAGTTCTCCTCAGAGCACCCCTGTGGAATCCTGCTGTGTACCGCCCTCCAGTTTCCCTCTCACTTTGCTTCTCACTCAGTCAACTTTGTATCTATGTCATCTCTGCCCCATTCCCTCTCATCTCTCATTGCTTCTCACCCAGTCAACTTTGTATCTATGTCATCTCTGTCCCTTTTATTTCATGGACTTTACCTTTTCAGCTTTAATCAAATGGCTTCTGAATCTCCATGTCTAACACACTAATCACATTATCTTCACCAACCTGAGATAACAAGGTGTAGAGCTGGATGAACACAGCAGGCCAAGCAGCATCAGAGGAGCAGGAAAGCTGACGTTTCGGGCCTAGACCCTTTTTCTGAAGAAGGGTCTAGGCC